CACCAGGAAGCTGGGTCCCCAGCTCTCAATGCCATTGTAATAACAGCCATTCAGAGCTGCTCTGCCCTGCACGCTTCACCGGGCACACTCCGGGGCCCACAGGACCCTCACAATGGACTGAGGGGTGAGGGGAGGGGAGAGAGAAATGGGGTAGATGACCACTTTAGAGGTGAGGGGACCAGGGCTTAGCAGAACAATGGACACAACTGCCTAGAACCATCTAGAAACCCTGGGTGGCTAGAACAAGGTGAGAGCCAAGAACCGCCGGATGTAGGATGGTGACACGGGCACTGACAAGACGGTGTAAGGCCTTGTGGACCATGAACAGGGCTCTGACTTCTATTTTTCTAAACATCTCTGGAAGAATTTGTGTGTGGGGCTTGGACTCGGGATCTTATGCTTTGGCTTAGCTTTTTTGCTCAAGGCTGGTATTCTACCACTTGAGCTACATTTCCATATCCAGCTTTTTAGTGGCTAATTAGAGATAAGAGTCTCTTGGATTTGTCTACCTGGGTTGGTGTAGACCTTTAATCCTCACATTTCCAGACTGTGGCGTAGCTAGGATTACAGGTGTCAGCCACTGGTGCCGGCTTAAGAAATCTTATTGACACAAGAAAAATACTCATAATGTATGCCATGAGAGAAAATCCTCCACCCACCTCTAACTTCACCCCTAACTATCCAGGCCAGCCTTAATTACACATTCTGATTCTGTTAGTTCCCTTAAGGTCCCCCTGCCTTGATTGTCCACTGAGAGACACTTCCTCCACGGTAAGACACTACACCAGCCAGCTAGAGGATCTGTCTGTATCTTCTGGAGTTCAGTAGATGAAGGAGACAGTTAAATAGTGAGTATGACTGGTACCCTGAGGAGGGACCCATTGAGGGGTGTGTGTGGAGGGAGGCTCTGCCCCAGTCTGTGGTCTGGGCATAGATCCCAGGGAGGAGGCAGTGGAGGGGAGACCTGGCTAAAGCAGTCAGCCAGGCTGGCAGAAGGACCAGGAAGAGAGTAGGAAGTGAATTCCAGGATGAAGTACAGCCAAGTGCAAACACCTGAGAAGAGAGCCAGGAGCTTTACCGTGGCTGACCGATGGGGCACAAGCAGCACTGTACATCTTTGTGCCTGTGTATTATTTCCATACACTACCACTGGGAAATCCTGAGAGCTTCTTGGTGGACAGGCATGAGCACTGTCTTAAAGGAGTTGGGTTGGCCTTGTTTGCAAACCAGTTCCAGGGGGTGGCGCTTGCACATTCTCTTGGATGTCTGTCTGTCTGTCTGCCCAGCCACTCTGGTGAATCAGCTTCTGATCTTCCAAGGAAACAACAACAATACCTCAATTTGAAGTAAGAGTTCAAATCACAGATCAGTCACTAAGAAGCTGGGCAGTCTTAGGCTAAGTTCTCAGGTGCTTTGGACTATCTCTTCATCTGGGGGAAATGACCTTATTAATAGAGTTAGGAAAGACAAATGAGACAGACAAGACTTTTATCTGCCTCATAGCTGGTGCTCCGAAGATATGATGGCACACACTTTCATTGTCACCTGAAGTCTCCATCCTTTTTAAACACGTGGCTGGGATAAAATTCAAGTGTCCATCACTGTTCTTACTTCATGTGTAGATTGATGTATATAGAGCTTCACCATCCCCAAAGAAACCCTATCTCCATTAGCAGGCATCCCTGTGCCCCTGCACACGTCTCTCTAGTCCCTAGAAACAACCAATTTACTCTCTGTACCTACAGGATTCCTCCTGTAATAGGTTTTTGTGGTATGTTTCTTTCATTTAGCATACTGTGTTCATCCATATTTTAGCATAAATTAGTACTTCATTTATTGCTGAATAATATTCCATTGTATGGATAGTCCACTTTGGGAGGGAGCAATGGCTGGTACTGGGGCTTGAACTCAGGGCCTTGTGCTCCGGCTTGGTTTTTGTTGGTTTCTTTTCAGGACAACTGGTGCTCTACTTCTCGACCTACATCTCCAACTCCAGCTTTTTGCTGATTAATTAGAGATGATTCTCTTGAGTTTGTTCTGCTCAGAGGGATCCTCAGATCTCAGGTTCCTGTGTAGCTAGGATTATAGGTGTGAGCCACTGGTGCTCATTTTAGACTACATTTAATACATCTGTCAGTTGATGGACTGTGGGTCTTTGTGTCTTTTGGTTTTTAGGAATCATTCTGCTTTGGACATGTGTGTGGACATAGATACTGAGATCTGAAGACATAGAAACAGTGGTGGTGAGAGCAAGCTGAGGATTACAAACAAGACAGATAAGCCTCCTGTATCTGGATCTCAACTTGTGCTTACTGACTTGAGCCAAAGGGAGCTAGCACTGACCAGAGATGTCCCAGCTACCAACTTACGCAAAAGAAACAGCAGGTTTGTATTGATCTGGCAGGGAGGGTCTATCATTTGGTAGTTGTCTATATCAGGTCATGAGCATGATTCTGAGTTAGGTTTTTTTTGTTGGTGATGGTCATGGGGCTTGATCACAGAGCCTAGGCACTGTCCCTGAACTTTTGTATTGAAGTCTAGCACTCTACTACTTTGAGCCACAGTTCCACTTCCAGGTTTTTGGTAGTTGATGGGAGATGAGTCTCATAGACCTCCCTGCCCAGACTGGCTTTGAACTGTAATCTTCAGATCTCAGCGTCCTGAGTAGCTAGGATGACAGGCTTGAGCCATCAGGGCCTGGCTCATGTTCCTTTTCATCTGCGCAGACATCTGGGCATTGCACTTGGAGGGTTGGTAGGCAATGTGCTCCACTTGGGAACTGCTGAGTTAGCACCGATACAATCGTTTGTGTAAATGTCCTGGCTGAAGGACTTTCAGTGATTGTGCAGGTTAGAAGATACCGATTGGCCCAGGCCAATGGTCAGTAGGCCAAGTAATCCCATATTACAGTCTTAGACAAAACATTTCCACAATGATCACATGTCCATATGCAGAGCTGAGTGGAGTTGAACTTCTGAGGCAGCAAAGGGACCAGACATAACATGAAGACAGAGAGCTGAGCCTTTGATCTTCTGTTTTCCACCTACCCAATCTCTGTGCCTTCTGCCCAGCAATGGGGCACCTGTGCTACCTGAAGTCTTCCTTAGGTGAACAGTGTCATGCTCAGCCAGGTAACCAACACATAGAGCTAGCACATAGAGCTACAGGGCTCATTTTGTTTTTCCTGCAGGGACAACTCTCCCTCCCCCCCCACCTTTATTGTTCATGCAGCCATCTTTACTCGATTGAGATTGGTTGAGTCATAAAGTATTCCTAGTCTATAAATACTCTGGCCTCATGGCCTAATCTGGTATTTTATGATAAGCTACTGAGAGACTACAAAGATAAAGGCCAAAGAAACCGCCCAGTCATACTTCCAACAAGTAAGCAGATTAAGCCCTAGAGGTTAAGGGTTAAGGTCTAGGTTAAGGGTCTAGAGTTTGTCTTTTGCCCCTTTACGATGGTTCCTGCCAGTTTCAGACATCCGTTTTCATTTTTTCTGAGGTATATACATGGGAACAGAATTGCTAGATCATAGGTAACTCTTTTTGACTCTGTGTGTGTGTGTGTGTGTGTGTGTGTGTGTGTGTGTGTGTGTGTACTGGGGTTTGAACTCAGGGCCTTGAGCTCTTGCTCAGTGTTTTTTTTCCCCCCATGCTCTAATACTTGTGCCCTACCCCCACTTGTGGCTTTTTAGCTGGGTAATTGGAGACAAGAATTTCTCAAATGTTTCTGTCTAGGCTGGCATTGAACCTCGATCCTCAGATCTCAGCCTCCTAAGTAGCTAGGACTGTTGGCATGAGCACTAGCTCCTGGCTTTGTCTGTCTTCTTGGTGGTAGCTGTCTTCACAGGTGTGTGGTGGTATCTCACTGTGGGTTTGATTGGCATTTCCTTGATAGCTCATTTCCATCTTCTTCAACAAAATCCCATTTGTATTCAAGAGGACAAATCCTGGGATACCCCAATCCCAATTTGGAAACACAAACCTACTCCTAAGAAAGAAGGGCATGATAAGTAGGGGAAAAAAGATGCCTGTTAATGCTGCAGAATGTAGTGCAAATCACAGAACTAATTATCTATGACATCTAAAGATTATAACAATTATAGCCCATTTAGTCATAGCTTACAGAAGTTTCTAACACATCCAAATACTTTTGTTGTTTGTTGCTTGCTTGTTTTTGAGATTGGGTTCTTGCAGTGTTATCCAGGGACTAGTCTCTAACCCATGGACTCACGTGATCCTCCCATCTCAGTTTCCCAAGTGACTGGGACTACAGGTGTGTACCACCATGTCTACACATCCAAATGTGTTTTAAGCGCCTGGATGCTAAGCTCCATAGCAGCTTGGGAGCAAAGGTTAGGGGAAAAAAAAAAACCAGTAAATGGGAAACCCTAAGTAATTGGGAGTGACGGGCATTGGTTGGGTGACGAGTTCCCCACCATTCCCCTCCTCTCCAATTCCCCCTCCAGAAGCTGAGCGAGGACATACCATCAGCGTCCACATTTCCCGTACACATGGGCTCATGCTTACACCCATCCACATCTGCACCCTGGACACACTCAGGAACACACACACACTTGTACGCGCACACACACGCCTTCTAATGTCTCCAGCATATGCTGCTTATCTCCATGTACCCACCATCTACCTAAGATTAGGAATGGGGTGCAGTTAAAGGGGACAAAGTCCCGTTTTGCCTTCTCCCTGCACCCTCAAATCTGCGAGCCGTTTGCCAGCAGGTGTGGGCAAGCCTGGGTGGGGCCGGACAAGTGGTTACAGGTTCACAGGATAAAGATTACTTTTCACTGGCAACGGAGCTACCACACTTCCTCACTGGAGCTACAGTTACCAAGGGGCCTCGCCTGCTGGGCAGCGCTCCAGCCAGAGGGCCTGGTCCAGGCCCCAGGAGTCCCAGCACGTCAGAAGTTGAGGCACACACTGAGCTGGGAGCCCCGGGGATGAAGGACCAGTGCAGGGCCTGGGTGTGACTCCTACAAAATGAGCTGGTTTGACAAATGGGGTGAAGATGAGAGAGCTGGGGACCGGCAGTGTGTGAAAATCACTTCCTTGGGATCTGGAGTCTGCCTGTCCCACCTGGGTCCTACAAGGTAGGAAACATTGAGCAAGTCACATCTCCTCCCTGAGCCTCAGTGTCCCTTGCTTGTAAACTGCATACAAGCCATTCTTTTGCCCACAGAACGAGTCGCCCTGAGGACTTACTATGTGCCAGGTATGGAATGGGTGCCGTGAATAACCACACCGAGGAAGGAGAATCTGAAAAGAGCTGGCACAAAGTAGGTGTTCCGTCTGCTTCCTCCCTCCCCTGCCACCATTACAGAATGGTTAGAGAATGGGATCAGGGCAGAGGCGTGTCGCCCCTAACAGCTACAAACTTCATTTTTGCCAAACTGAAGCTCACACAGAGGCTGGCCCAGGGGGCTCAAATGAAAAGCGTGAATGAGTGACAGTATTGTCACAGGAAAAAGTCAGATTACCTTTTCACATACTTCATCAATGCACAGCCATACAGGTAGTCCTGGCCATGTCTCTGCTTATATGTATTCTTTTCCTTGGAAACAATACAAGTTCTTTATCTAGCAAAGGTAACTCAGGGTCAGAGAAGTCTAGGCACCTGTGTACGGTCACACAGACAATACGACAAGCCAGTTTGAGAAGCCTGAGCTACTTGCCCACACTGTCCTGGGCTGGGGGATGCAGCCAGGGCTGGACTGTGGGGCCTTGGGCCTGATGATGCAGCTCAGTGAGCCCTTGTGGGCCAGCACAGCCTGCCCTCATCACTGGATGCTGGCCCTGGGAGAGGACCCTACTACCTCTTTGCCGGCAGGGACAGGTTTTGAGCCCAGGATCCCCTAGGAAGGCCTGTTTTAGCAAATGCAGAGCATTGGTGGGTCAGGGTTGTGATTTCTGGCGCCCTCTGGAGGACAAATGGAGCAAGTGTCTAGCTCTTTCTGGAAGCTGGTGGCGGAAGTCAATGGACTGTTGCTAATAATTACAATAACAGTGGCTGCCAGTGAACGGGTACTTACACATGCAGGTGTTTTTATACCTAATCTGATTTAATCCTTGCAGCTACAAACTGGAGCATTATTACCTTGTTATATAAACAATCTGAGATGTGGAAATGAATTCCCAAGGTCATGCAACCCAGCGGTGGAGGGCTGGGAATGAACCATTGACCATCAGGAGGAAACTGTGAGTAAGGAAAGATCCCTGGGCTGGAAGTGAAGTTGGACACAAAGTGGTTGACCACAAGGCTAATGAGGCTTCTAGACTCTTCCCTCTCCTTTTGCCTTCCAAGCAACTCTCCCATGTCTTTCCATGGTCATGTGTTTCATAAAATTTGCAAAACCAAGGTATTTTGGTTGCAATTACCTAAAACCATTGTCTCTATTCTGGTACCTAGAATCGTACCTTCGCATAGTAGCTGTGTGTTAATAACTTCGTTTTATGTCTAAATTGTATAGTGTGTTAGCTGAGTGGAGGGATGGATGGAGAAAAAAATGAATGTCGTGGCATGCAGTTTGATCTGGAAGGAAGACAATTGTTTTTGGTTTGCTGATTTCATTTTTGGTAGTACTGGGGTTTGAACTCAGAACCTTGCATTTGCTAGGCAAGTGCTCTACCATTTGGACCACACCCCATACCTCCCTGGAGCCTGGGAGTGAAGGTAGTTCTCTCTTCACATAAGGGAAATGGCTTACTCAAGGATAATAAAAATGAACTCAAACCTGGCCTCCAGAGGCCATCCCTGTTCCCACCGCCATCTCCTCTCCTCTTCCAGGTGGAGGAGGAAAAACTCATCTTGGCCAGCAGGGGGTAGTATGCCCTCAGTGATAAACAAGTTGAGAGCCCAGATCCAGCAGGCAAGCCAAGTACCTGGCCTTGAGCCCACTCTTAATCCCAGACTTGGGTAGTACTGGGAGCAAGGAGAGAGATGCAGAGAAAAAGTGGAAACCCCCATACCCAGCCTCCTTTCTATTCCTTTTAAGATGAGGAGTTCTGTGGGTGGAGTGTGACTGCACAATAAGATTGGACTTAATACCACTGAATTGGATAGTTAAAAGTGGCTGAAAAAGTAAACTTTATGCCAAGCATGGTGGCCCACATCTGTACTCCCCGCACTTGAGAGGCAGGAAGATTGAGAGTTCCTGAGCTAAATATTAACTCCGAAAAGAGGGAAGAGAGGAGAGGAAAGGATAAGAGAGGAGAGGAGAAAGGAGGAGGAGAGAAAAAGAGGAGAAGGAGGGAAAGGAGGAGGAGGGAAGGAAAGAAGGAAGGGATTGATTTAATTTGATTGATTAATTGATTAATTTGCAGGGATTGAAGCTGGGGCTTGGAGCATACTTGGCAGGCACTCTTCTACTTGAACCACACCTCCAGCCAGAAAGTTAATTTTAGCACACTATAAATAGGTGTGTGTGTAAGGAAAAGTGAGAATACTTTCAGGAAATGATGGCTAATAAAGGCCAAGAGGAAGCTGGGTATGGTGGCTCAAGCTACAGAGTACCTGTCTGACCAACAGAGGTCCCCTAGTTCAAATCCCAGTACCACCACCACACATACACAGACACACAGACACACAGACACACACACACACACACACACACACACACACAAATAGACCAAGGAGAAATTGAGCTGGGTGGGCAACTCCTTTGGAGAGCATGTATAGCCATGTACAAGGCCCCTAGAGGGTCCATCCGCAGCCCATGGAGAAATAAAAGGAGAAAAGAACGAGAAAAGGTCAGGGGAGGAGCTGCGTGAGGAGTGTGTCCATCTGTGTACTTGTGCTGAAATGTCAAGCCTTCATTCCAGACCAGATCACCGGCCCCAGGATTAGGAAAGGGCTTTTCTTTCCTCCAAGTGCTCCCTTCACCAGCGCAAGGGCGGAGGAGACACTGTGAGCCTGGGAGACAAGACACAGGCTCAGAGCAGAGCCCGCCAGTCCCTCTTTGCCTCTGCAGAAGACATTGGTTGTCTGTGTACTTGATTCCCGGTTACTCCTCCCTAAAACGAACCACTAAGAGAAGAGCCTTCTCCCACAGACATCCTGCTGATGAAACATTTGACCAAATCAGAGCTGCTGACTAAGTAGCAGGGAGAGATGGTGTCAGCAGTAGATCCAAGAGGCTGTGACCATCCAGGGGTCTGGACATGGTGGCATGTGGCTCGGAGGAGGGACGCACAGCATCCACACAGGTGGGGCATGGACCCACACCCGGCCATGCAAAGCCCAAAGTCCTGGGAGTCCATGTGGGCCAGGTCAGGAGCTGACACACACTTGCGTGTTGTTCCTTGGCAAGATAGATTTGAAAAGGGGGGGGGATAAAGAAGAATGTGAGATTGAAAACAGATTATCAAGGAGAAAGTGTGCCAGGCGTGAGACGGAGCTCTGTAGCTGCTGGCCCCTATCCCGCCCATTCCCCAGCCCTGACGCAAGGTTGGCTGGAGGGAGCTAGTTCTCTGGCGTTGATTGAGCCGAGGCCCTGGCAAGCAGGAGACCAAAGCCTCCCTCATTCCTGCCCGGGTGCCAGACTCTGCATGAGACTTAAAACACGCCCTTGACAGTGCCAAGTACCATGCTGCCCGATGTCTGTCTTCAAGGTGTCTTCTGGTGTGATGCCCATTTCCCAGACTAGTAAACTGAGGTCTACTGGCTGGTCCCCTGGTCATCCTGCCAGTTAAGGTTGAGTATGCTGGACTCTGAGGTGCAGACAGGCCAGGGAGAGTTTGGTGGTCCAGGAAGAAGGTTCTGGAGTACAGGGTTAGAATGAGGGGCAGTATTGTGCAGTGGTCACTTGTTTGACTCTAGAGTCTGATGTTATAGTTGTTTGTGTCAACAGCATGGCCTCGCTGGTCTTCATGGATACAAATATGATTCGCGAAGGTACAGGTCCTTAAAAATGTTAATACTTGAACCAGGCACCAGTGACTCATGCCTGCAATCCTGGCTACTCAGGTGGCTGAGATCTGCAGGATCATAGTTTGAGGCCAGCCTGGTTAAAGTCTACTAGACTCCACCTCCAGAATAGGCAGCGAAGGGGCTGGGAAGTTGGCTCAGTGGTCGAGCGCTTGCCTTGCATGCCTGAGGCCCTGGGTTCGATTCCTCAGCACCACATAAGCAAAAAGGAAAAAAGCCAGAAGTGGCGCTGTGGCTCAAGTGGTAGAGTGCTAGCCTTGAGCTGAAGAGCTGAGGGACAGCACCCAGGCCCAGAGTTCAGGCCCCACAACCGGACCCAAAAAAAAACAAAACAAAACAGAATAGGCAGCGAATAAAAAGGTCCCTACTGGAGGTGTGGGTCATTGGTAAAGAGACAGCCCAGTAAGCACGTCGAGCAAGCGTGAAGTCTGAAATTCAAATCCCAATATCAGCCCCGCCTCCAAAAAAGTCACCACTTAAGCTAGCATGGTCTCTCATGCCTATAATTCTAGTTATTTGGGAGGTAGAGATAGGAAGATAACAGTTTGAGGCCAGTCTGGCAAAAAGAATGGCTTCACTTCTAAGAACAAGCTGGATCTGGTGAGACAGGTTTATAATTTCATCTACCGGGGAGGTGGAGGTAGGAGAATCAAAATCTGAGTATAGCCCTGTGACAAAAACATAAGAACTTAATAAATGACTACAGCAAGCCAGGTGCTAGTGTCTCACGCCTGTAATCCTAGCTACACGGAAGGCTGAGATCTGAGGATCACGGTTCAAAGGCAGCCCAAGCAGAAAATCTACAATTAACCACCCAAAAACAGGAAATAGAGCTATGGTTCAAAGTGGTAGAGCACTAGCCTTGAGCAAAAGAGCTCAGGGACAATGCCCAGGCCCTGAGTTCAAGCCCACGACTGACCAAAAAAGGATTAAAATAAAAAGGATCAGTGCTAACCCTCTCCCCACTCCTTCACCCCCCATCAGCTTCATAGCTCTGGGAACTAGATTGCTTTAGAGATAGCTCATCTAAGCAGATTCATTCACTATTTGTCTTTGGTCTTTGGCCAACATCGTCCTTCAGGCTCATCTATGCTACAATGTTACAGTATGAGTCAGAATTTTCTTCCTTTTTATGGCAGAATAATATTCTATTGTGTGCACATTTTGCTTATCCATTTGTCAGTTTCTGGATAACCAGTGGCTTCCATGTTTTGGCTACTTTTGTACTTTTTGTGTCTGTGTGTGCTGATCCTAGGGCTTGAACTCAGGGCCTGAGAGCTCTCCTTGACCTTTTGTGCTCAAGGCATGCACTCTACCAATTGAGCCACAGCTCCACTAGTAATTAATTGGAGATAAGAGTCTCACGGAATTTCTTGCCTGGGTTGGCTTTGACCCACAATCCTCAGATCTCAGCATCCTGAGTGGCTAGGATTACAGGCGTGAGCCACCAGCACCTGGCTTTAGTGGCAGATTTTTAAACAAAGTTTTGTTTTGTTTTTTGAAGGGGAAGCACCGGCCAAGAAGTCAGAGACCAGGCCTCAAGATGTGGCTACTGGTGTGCTGTGCAGCCCTGGGCAAGTTGCTTCCTGATCTGATCCTAGCTGCTTCCCACAGGAGTGTGTTGAGCGCAGAGGAGGCAGGGCAGTTGAGTGCTGGGGCCGAGGGAAGCCTTGAGGGACTGTGATTGTTACTCAGTGGGGAGAGGGCAGCGGCTTCCTGAAGCCTGAGTCAGTCCTGGAACAATGCCAGACATCAGGAGGGGCTGTTCTGGGCAGCAGAGCCTGGATTCCACACGGAGCAGTGGCCTGTACCCTGAGCCCTTGGGAGAGCCACACCCTCCATCCTGGACCATCAGCAGCTGTGGGGAGGAAGTCGGTGAATGTCAGGCCCTAGGGGTTCTCAGGGGCAGAGAGATCTTCGGGTCCCACTGCCCCACAGGACAGTTAAGGAGGCTCAGTCAAGATGCACTTGCTCAGAGCCACACTGCCAGAGGGCCTGGGCTGGAATAGGAAGCTCAACAGCAATCGTGTGTGTGTGTGTGTGTGTGTGTGTGTGTGTGTGTGTGTGTGTGAGTGTGTGTGTGTGTGAGAGAGAGAGAGATTCTAAGGCCCCTGGGGGAGATCTCATCCTGGGGCTTGAACTCAGGGTCTGAGCACTGTCCCTGAGCTTCTTTGGCTCAAGGCTCTAACATTCTATCACTTGAGCCACAGGACCATTTCTGGATTTTTCTGAGTGACTTATTGGAGATAAGAGTCTCATGGACTTTCCTGCCTGGGTTGGCTTCGAACTGTGACCCTCAGATCTCAGCCTCCTGAGTAGCTAGGAGTACAGGTGTGAGCTGAGGACCTTCCAACTCAAAGCCCTCTGCTTACATCCTGAGATCTTGGTTCATGTAGAGCCTTCTAGAAACATTAATAATCATGACTATTATCTGAGGCTTCCCGAGTCCCAGGCATAGAGCTGAGCACTTTGCATGCATAGCTTGTATTTCTCCCCCCATCCAAACCCCCCAAGTCCCAAATCCTTACTTCAAAGACATTGGAAGGTTACAAAATGAGATCAGGCAGAGCTGGGATTTGAACCCAGGCTGGGGGGGTGGGGTATCTGATGACTGAATGTCCACTCTGCTGCTTCATGTAGCTGGGACATCTCCACGAGGCAGAGGGAGAGGGAGGCCTGGAGCCGCTTGGAAGCATGCTAGCTGGGGGGGGGGTAGGCTGGGCCCCCCTTCCTCCTTGCCCCCACCCCATGCCAGGACTGGCTTCTTCCAGAGATACCATTTGGAGATGGAAAGGCTGTGTCTGAGAGTGTGCCAGCTCAGTAGGACCTCAGCTGGACAGGGGGGAGATGGAACCCGGAGGACAGCCTCCTCCCTTTGGTGACAGCCACAGCAGTC